TTCTTCTACTGTCCGAATACGCTCCTCATCCTCCGCCACACGTTGAGCCTTTGTCTCGTCCTTGATGATCGGCTCTGGTTGTTGGGACTGGCTAGAGACGCCGGGCGAGTTTCCTCGCATACTAGGAAGACTGAAGAGCGCGTCTTTCTCTTCCTGGGTCATGGCTACCAGTCCCCTTGGAACCGGGTTAGGCTTCTCTTCTTCTTTCGGATCCAAGTGGCTCAAGATCCCGAGACGACGATTCACTTCCGCGATCTCGTCCTGCGTCATCGGGATAAGTGGCGGATGGCCCTCTTTAGGAGGGGTTTTGCCCCTGTTGGGGCTCAGGCCTTCGTTGTTGCCAACGGGGCATCCTGGCCTGTGATTCTGGAACGGCTGGGAACAAGGTCCGCATGCTGCGTGAGGCCTATACTGCTTGCGCGCCGCGATAATATCTCGCAACTGAGTCCGCACTTCTTGAATTTCAGGGCGGCGGATGTTTGTTGCAAGCTGATAGCCTGCGCGGATGGGCTTGCCATCACTGTCCCTATCGGCAGGGTTGCCCTGGCCGAAGGCCGAGTGTTCCCCTTTTCGGCGTCTTGGGTCGTTGTACGGAAGTAGCTGGCCACCTCTCCTGAGAGCGTGTTATTTTGGGCCAGCCTGTCTCCACTCACGGGGAAGTCGAGCCTGGGGATGTGGCTCTTCTCTGACGCGCGCATGGGAACGAGATCTTCTGGTGTTCTCATCAGAGGAAGCTGCCGATGCAGCAGGAGCGGCACCCGGTGGAGGTGCCTGAGGAGGCTCCTGTGCGATCCCAGATGGATCGTCCGATGGAGGCAGGTCTCCCTGCTGTGTAGAGCTCGGCGCAAGTGGCGCTTGTGCCGATGGTGATGATGATTCAGACTCATCCGGGTCGAAATCAACCTCTTCCTCGCCATTCACGTCCATCATGAGGATGGTGACATCATCCTCATCTAACCCGCAGCCACCGCCATCTACTTCTTCTGATGTCGAACTACCAATGATGATGGCCATTGGCGTATCTGGTACAGGCAGGTTTCCCTGCATAGTCGGCGTCTGGGCGTCGCTCGGCTGTCCCGGAGTAGGAGGCATTGTTGTCGGCTCAGGCTCGTCGCCGAGCATAGGCTGCCCAGCAATGTTACGCATGGCCGTATGGTTTGGCCTCATTCCCACCGCCTGGAGACCCCATCCTGGCGGAGGAAGATCATGACCGCGCATAGCCATCGCCATTTCCAGAGCACGACGCCATCTACCACGGGAGTATATCAAGTGTCTCTGCACTTCCTGAGGATACACGCTGTCAATGAGAGTCAGAGCTGCCAAAAGTAGCTCTGAACTATCGCAAGCATCATTACCCTGTTCTGTCATGATGCCAGCTTCGATGTGTTCTTGACTCTCAGGATAACCAATTGTAAGTATCTCATGCATCCTCATGAGGGTCTGCAAAAGGGTACGTGGTCCACATTCGCCTGGAGCAAGCGAACCAGGAGGTATGAACGGAATATCTGGTTCGCCTGCAATGAAGGCCTGAACAAATGCCTGAGACTCCATTTCAATTAAGTCTTCAGTGGTCTGGGGATATTCTCCCATCAAAGAAGGCCTGTTTCCAGGCGGGATTTCGGGCGGAGGTTCGAGGTTCCGTTGAACCTCGGAAGGCGAAGCCTCTATAGTGGTGTCCTCGTCGTCGCTCTCGTAGGCCATGATGTTGCCTGGGTTCCCGAACATCCAGTCGAAGAAAGAAAGAGGCTCGTTTCCAAGCGTACCGTGTTCCACGGGAGTGAGTTCGTTACTGCCCGTGACGAACCAGCGGACGTACTCGAGGTAGTACGCGTACAATCCATGACCATACCCCTCGAGCTCGTCGATGTTGCCCATGCCAACTACCCAAGTGAAAAATATATGTTCCATAGCCTCAAAGTCCTGGAGGCTCAGATATTCAATGGATGGTGCACTTGAGCCAAAATGGACTTCGGACGACATGCCCTTTCCATTTCCCTTCGCTGGACAATCTCGCACAAGATGATCGGAACTACCACATTCATGGCATTTGAGAACCTGGCCGTCTCTACCTCGCGGGTTTCCCCGCCTACCTTTACCTTTACCTGAGGTCTCTCCACGGCCTTTACCACGGCCTTTTCCCCCAAAGAATATCTCATCATGTTGTTCATCTGAGAGCCTCTGGAGAAATGCCGCGATACCTCGCCCGTTCAACCTCCGACGACCACGCTTGCCTTTACCCTTTCCTTTAAAACTTCTGCGTATCCTCCTTCTAACACGACGCACTGGTTTTCGTGTGAACCTCCTCCACCTTCGTTTGGCCTGTTGTAACAGCCAGAATAAATGCTCAGCACGCTGATTGTCGTTATCCATATTCCTGATATCTGACCAATCTAGAGCTTCAACACCATCTGATGATATAGTGTCTGTATCGGTGCCGGAGTCGAAGTCTTCGTCTCCTAAATAGGTGGATACACCGTCGGTTAGGGGATTTGATTCCCCCCATAACGAGCGGTGTGGTTGTGGTTCTCTAGAAGGAGGGCTGGTTGCCCAGCTTGGTTGTGATCGATCCCCTGCTAATGAAGCAGTGGATTCTCCTGGGTCATCGGCCCATATGCTTGAGGGCCCGTTTCCAGGCTGGGCTTCAGTGGTCAAGGTAGTGTAGAAATTTCCACTACCAGATCCCCTTCCCCTTCCAAACACAGATCCTATGTTACCAGGAGACCGTTCGGATAGGTGGCCTATCGAACGCATCCTCTCCAGCAACTCATCATACTGTTGTTGTGTTCGAGGCATTTGGTGGTTGAGTGGCTGTAAGAGTTGCATGGCTTTCTGGTTGCCGACGCCTAAGGCGCGGAATAGGATAGTGGTTAGCAGTTGGAAGTTAGGAAGGTCGAATCCCACCGACTGTGCCTCAAGTCGGGCCATTTCGAATCGGGTAAGAGTGACATCGATTCGTTCCCCGTGAGGCACATGGAAGTCGATGAGTTGTGTGCCGGAAGTGAGCTGTCGCTCATCTTCCAGGCGTTCGAACTTCATGCTGAGGAGGAACATGATGTAAGTTACTGGGTCTGTGTGGACCCCATCAATGTCAGCACCATAGGTTATAATGTCAGGCGGTACCCTCATGGCGAGTGTCCTCGCTAGGCCACCTAGGCCGCGTTGTATTGCGGCCGCTTGGGCCTGTGGCGTCATACGTCCGCTTGTAACGTTGAGCCATGCGTTGACCTCGTAGATGTACTCACGAAAAGGCACATTACCTTGAGGGTCCCAACATGGGCCATGCGTTTGCCCATCGGTGCTGTTATCTCCACGACGCATGTGTCCGATTGCTGCCCCCAGCGCGAACCATATGATAGCGAAGACGATTAGCCCGAGAATGTGTAACGAAGGACGGTTATGATGCGCGTTGTCGCGCTGGGGTAGCGCCTTGTCGAGTCTTCGAGGCGCTCTGTCTGGCGGGTCTCCCCGCCCTTGCTTCAAGTATTGCGCTGTTAGCTCGTTGCCGAGCGGTTGGTAGTAACGCAATGATGAAGCGTATATGGTACCAGTTTGGTCGTCTAGACGTCGTACCTCTCGTGTTGCTTCTTGCTCTTGAATAGATCCTCGTAAACGTACTGGGAGTGGTGGCGCAGGGTGGTAGGTGGTCACGAAGATCGTGCCGAAGAATATGAGGCTAAGAAGAGCAAGAGCTGACCACACGAGAGTGCGGCCAGCTCCGCTACCAAGTCGAAAGTGAGCCTGGTAACTCAAATAGGGCATATAGCCTGGCAAATTGCATCCATCGCTCTGCTGTGAAGGTACAGTATGAGGGGTGGATGGGTAAGATAGGATAAGATCGATGTAATGATCTTTCCAGCACATAGCGAACACTCGCGGTGTCCGGGCAAATAGGGCGCGCGTGCCTTGAGCCCAAGGCAGCGGCGCGCGAGCTATGCTCCCGATACTGTAACATCTCCCAAAGAGCTACCCTTAAAGTGAGGAAGGGGAGGGGGATAAGGACGAGGAGGAAGAGGGGGTGGAGGAGGACCTCATCCTCATTCTGCCGCTGCTTGACGTAGCTCTGATGCGCCCCATCCAAGCGCCTTGTACTCTCCTTCCTCCTCCTCCCGCTCCTCCTGCTCCCTACCCCTCCCCTCTCCTCCTCCTCCTCCTCCTCCTCCTCCTCCTCCTCCTCCCCCTCCTTCCCCTTCTTATCTTCCCTCGTCCCTCTTCCTCCCGCTCCCCGTCAAGGTAGTTGACCGCTTCCAAACAACAAGATCTTTGAGCACGCTGTGAGACCGCCTCACCAGTGGGTAAGCAGAAACTTCTACTCCTACTGAGAAATCGCATTGTACTTGGACCTGCAATCGTGCAAGACCTGAGCGACGAAGCATTGAAGGTCCGGTAACGATGCGGTCATGGAGACTGAGAGTAGAATCAGCTGGTCCCAAATCCTAGAAACTCAAAACTTGCCGAAACATGCTCGCAAAACTCCGTGTGAGCATTGACGTGGCTGGACACCAAAACCAAAGATTGCGCCGGCCTGGTAAACCGTCTCTCCTAGAGAACATACCGAGGAGCAGGGGGAGCTGAAGGACGTCGCAGGCCCAACGGGCAGAACCCAACGCCCAACACAGCGTGAGCGAATATGCCCTGGACCATCTGTCATCACAAAGGGCACACGTGTACTTAGTGGTAGAAGGCAGGGCTGGACCTAAACGTTGGTTTTCGTGTTGTGTTCGTTGTGCTTCGTTGTGCTCTACCTGTCAAAACAGAAACGAGAAACAGAACACAGCCGAAGTCCAGCAAAACAGCGTTCAGGTCCAGCCCTGGCAGAAGTCACGAGCAGGAACCAGCCTCTGGCCATGAGCTCTGGCCATCTCCCAGCTGCGCTGGCAGCGCCCTGCCTTCCTTCGGGGGGGGGGACCAGACGTCGGGGGAGAGGGGGAGGGGGCCCGCGCAGACCGTCGGGCAGACGCGACGGCCCTGCGCCGCTGCGGCGAGCGGCGGGAGGCAGGGGCCTGGTCGGACCGCCGTCGCAGCCACCAGAAGTCCTGCGCCGGCCGCGCGACCCCGGGCGGAGGAGGGAACGGGAGGGGATGGGCAGCCACACGTGAACCCCACCCGTGAGGTAGAGTTCTGACCACGGTCGATCCACGAAACCGGGGAAGGACATCGAACTGCCCGAACGTGGGCACTGGGCAGTGGCGATGCTGACGAGACCCGTGGTGATGCTACCGTGCCAAAGGCTGTGCAGTGCTGCGCTGCCCTGTACCACGCTGTGCCGTGCTTAACTGTGCTGTTTCAGCCTGGGTGGGACTGTGCTGTACTCTATTGCGTTGTGGATCCAGCCGTCTCTGGCGTCAGATCTTGCTCGAACTGATCTGGATCTTTAGCTCGAGCTGCATCAAAGCATGGCTCTCCCAGAGCTGGTCAAAATCGAAAAGTGCGGGGCGATCAACTGGCTCGAGCTCCAGATTCGATTTGGTTCCGAAACGGGACGACCCAGGGGATTCGCTAGGGGACGTGCCAAGGGACGTATGAGAGAACGTGCCATGTACGTGTCAAGGACCTGGCCCAGGACATGGCCAAGAAGCGTGCCAGGGGGGCGTGCATGGGGACGTCATGCCAGGGAACGTTCCAATGGACGCGCCAGGGCAAGCGGCAAGGACGCGGCAGGGTGACGCACCATGGAATGGGCACGGGAAGCGCCGACGTCGGCGCCGACGCCGACGCCGCCGCCGCCGACGACGACGACGACGACGACAGCGGGAGGAGGAGGAGGAGAATGAGAAGGAGGAGGAGGAGAAGAGGAGGAGGAAAGGGGCGGAGGAGGGATGAACAGGGAGGAGGAGGGAGGAGAGAGGATGAAGGAGGGAGGGAGGATGAGGAGGAGGAGGAGGAGGAAGAGGAAGAGCAGCAGCAGCAGGAGGAGGAGGAGCAGGAGGAGGAGGAGGAAGGAGGAGGGGGGAAGAGGGGAGGAGGAGGGAGGAGGGAGGAGGGAGGAGGGGAGAGTTGGAGAAGGAGGGGCATGAGCAGGAGGAGGGAGCAGGAGGGGGGACGGCCCAAGAGGCCTCCAAGACGCTCAAGATGGCCTCCAAGACGGCCCAAGAGCCCTTCAAGACGTCCTCCAAGAAGGCCCGACAGGGTCAAAATGGCCCCCAAGCTGCCAAGATGACCTTCAAGATGCCCACGTGTTCCCCGAAGGCTTTCCAAACCGATTCGGGGAACACGGGGTCCGATAGCTTGGCAGGTCTCGCCTCAAAATTCGGCCACATAGGCGCTTCCAAAAAGGCAGGGGGCGGCGGTGATTCGCCGTAGGCGTCTTCGATATAACGCCAACGCCTCAATATGCGCTGATGATTCCTGTCCGCCCCCTCATGATGTTCCCAGATGCGCCAAGGCAGCGCCGAGACGCACCGACGCGACTCTGAGACATCCCATTATGATAGAGAGGGGGCCGGCGGCAGGGGGCGAAGCCCTCATGGATTACCGTCAGTGCAACCGACTGGACAAATATCGGGATAAACATCGAAACAACCATCGGGACAACGATCGGGACGGCAATCGAAACAAACAATCGGAAAAACAATGACCATCGGAACAATTATAGGTACAATCATCGGGACTACCATCGGGACAACATCGGGGTAACCGTTGGATGAGCCGTCGGGACAAACATCGGGACAACCATCAGGACAACCATCGGGACCACAATCGTAGCAGCAATAGGGACAACTGCCGGGAAAATCATTGGGAAAGCTATCGGGATAACCACCCGGACAACCGTCAGGACAAACATCAGGGCAACCATCGAGACAACCATCTGGACAACCATCGGGACAACTGTCGGGATTACCATCGAGATACCCGTCGGGATGTTCATCGGGACAACCGTCGGAACGACCATCAGGACGACCATTGGGGCAACGGGACAACCATCTGGACAACCATCGGGACAATCATTGGGACAACTGTCGGGACAACCATCGGAACAATCGCGGGACAAACAACCAGCTGAACAAACACGGGACTCGGGAAAACCCCGCGCACGCCCCTTCGCCTGGATCTAGCTCGTGCAGAAAATCGCGCAGCTTCGCCTCGCACGCACGCACGACACGCGCCGAAACCGAACTCCCGAATGAGCCTCCATTTCAAATCGGTCTCGCCCAACCGACCTCCGATTCACACATACCCTCGATCTGTACACTCTGTCTACACGTGGTAACTATCCTCCAGCATGCCGCCCATGACACGAAGAAATCCCGCCTGACCATCAAGTGCGTGTTCCACTGCCCTCGCCTAAGCCAACCAACTTCCTGCAGTTCTGCCTCCTGCCTGGCTACATCTTCCAGGGAGGGAGGAAGGAGAAGGAGGAGGGGCGAGGATGAGGAGGGAGGGAGGGAGGGATTGCTGAGAGAGGCCTTTTCCCCGCCAGGGCCCTGCGTGGCCGTCCGATGCACACAGGGATGGCATCCTCCTCCTCCTCCTCCTCCTCCTCCTCCTCCTCCTCCTCCTCCTCCTGCCTGCCCTGGGCCAGAGGTGTCGCACGGGATGTCCCCGTCCCTGCAAAGGCCTCGTCAGGCCCCTCGTGCGGGCGGAGGTTCCTGCCCCCGTCCCCTCGCAGCCGACGGGGCAGCAGGAGGAGGTGGACAGTGGAAGGGAGGGAAGGAGAGGGAGGGAGGGAAGGAATGAGCAGGAGGTGGAGAGAGGGAGGGAGGGAAGGAGAGGGAGGGAGGGAGGGAATGAGCAGGAGGTGGAGAGAGGGAGGGAAGGAGGAGGTGGAGAGAGGGGGGAGGGAGAGGAGGAGAAGGAGGGGTAGACGAACGCCCGACGCGGCTGCACTCCATGCAATTCTTGAGTGTGCTGCCCTTGTCGAAGGGGTTGCGGAACATCTTCTGCGGCACCCAGAAAGCGCCGGCCAATGCTGATGCTGCTTCCTCATCCTGCCTCCCATTCCTCTCCTAACCCCCCCTCCTCCGCCGCCTCCTTCTTCCTCCTCCACCTCCTCCTACTCCTCCTCCTGCTCACTCCTCACTCCTAACTCCTAACTCCTTATTCCTGCTGCTCTTTCTCCTCCTCCTCCTCCTCCGTCTTCTCATGCTATTCGCTCGTCATCCTCCTTATAATCCTCCTCCTCTTTTCTCTTCCTCATCCTTAATTCCTTCAGGCGATGAGGAGGTTTGGGGGGAGTGGTGCAGCTTTCGGTCTGCGATTGGCGCCAGATCGGATTTACAACATCTGTAAAACGATATCACAATAGATCGATCTCACTCTATATCGATCGGACACACTGCCTATAGATCTTACGAACTGTCGATAACTGCTATTACTCCTGACAAACATCGGTACGCCCATCAGAACCACCATGGGAACAACCATCGTGACATCCATCGGACTAACCATCGGGACTCACAACCATCGCCATCGGGACAACCATCAGGATAACCCTCGAAACAACCCTCGAAAGCAACATCGAAACAACCATTGGGACAACCATCAGGACAACCGGCAAAACAACCATCGCGACAACGCTCGTGACAAACGTCGAAACGACCGTCAATACAACCATCATAGAGAAACCATCGGGTGAACAGTGGGCAAAACCATCGGATCAACCATCAGGACAACCATCAGGACATCCGACCTCAATCGGGCTAAGCATGGGCGCGTCCATCGAATCAACCAGAAGGACAAGCATCGGGACAACCATCGGGTCAACCATTGCATCAACCATCGGGACAAGGTTCGGGACAACCAAGATAACCATCAGGACATCTCGGCAAAACCACGGGACAACTACGGGACATCCATCGAACAACCGTCGGCATAACCATCGGGACAACCATCAGGACAACTATCGGGACAACCATCGGGACAATGTCGGTTGACAGCGGGGCAACTGCGGGACAACCCCGCGCAGGCCCTGGCGCCCAGGGAAGCGACTCATTTTGGCGCAACCTGGGGCCCAGCTGGTGCAAGAACTCGCGCAGCTTCGCATCGCCCGCACGCACCACACGAACCGAAACCGGCACAGATTTCCCTCTGCGACCACGCGGTTGGTGATGAGGAGGTTGGAGGGGGATGTGTGCAGCTTTCCGTTTGCGGTTGGCGTCGGATCGGGTTCGCTATCTATCTGACGATCTGACGATCTCGATATGTAAGTGTAAAGGTATGCGTGCATTTGTATAGGAATATAAACCTACATGTCGATCTGCCGATCTGGCAGCCTCACCATTGTATATATGTATATATACATATAGATATATATATATATATATACATATAGATATAGATACAGATACACATATATATATATATACACCATATATACATATATACGCATCGTTTCCACTGTCGAGAGATCACTTAGTCTCACTGTCCATCGAGCGGTCTTTATCAAGACACACACACAATCCTTACAATCACCACATGCCTATGTAAACATCCCTACCTGTCGACGGTCTCGGGACAACTTCAGGACAACAACGGGACAACTGCGGGGCAACCACAGGACAACCACAAAACAATCACAGGCCAACCGCCGGACAACCACGGAACCACCACGGGACAACCACGGGACAACCACGGGACAACCACGGGACAACCACGAAACAACCACAAAACAACTACGGACAGCCACGGGGCAACCACGGGAAGACCACGGGACACCGATATATCGAAGAATCGATTTTACAATGTATTAATAGATAGGTCGACATCCCGATCTATCGAGGTCACAATTTGCCCATCGATATCACGAGCAACCAATCCACAGGTATCTATGTGAAGACGTCGGAATTGATATGTATTTCTTTATATGTGTATACGTACACATATGTATATGCGCATCGATATCATCATATGTCCATGTATATGTATGTATGTGTATAGGTATGTACGTTCAACCTAAAAACAATCACTGCACGACCACGGGACAAAGACAAAACAATCACGGGACGATCATTGAATATCCACGAAGCAACCACGGGACAATCACGGGATTATCACTGATCAAAAACGGGACAACCACGGGACTACCACGGGACAGCCGTCAGACAACCGCCAAACAACCGCAAGCCGTAAAGCAACCGCGGGACAACCCCGGGCACCCCATTGGACAACCATGCGACGACCACGGGACAACCACAAAACAACCACGGGACAACGAAAAAACAACCACGGGACAACCCCAAGCACTCCACGGGACCACCACGGGACAGCCACAAAACAACCGCATAACAACCGTGAGACAACCCGGAACGTTCCACTGGGGCCGACGGTTCATTTTCACCCGACCGGGCTATAATTGGCGCAGGAACGCGCGATGGGTCCTCGCACGCACGCACGCAAGACACGAACCGAAACAGAAACCTATTCCACCAGTGAGGCATCCGTTTCACTTCGGCTTTACTCCCCCAACCTCTAATTCGGCCACCCAACAGGCAGATAGCGCCCGCATCGGGAAGGTCCCAATCTACACATCGCAAGCCAATACAAAGTCGACGTATCTCGTGTAAGCGTGGACGTTTTGGCGTCGAAGCTGTAAAATGCGTGGCGGAGATGCGAAGGGGCGCACATTGCGCGCGAAGAGGCAAACTGTCGCTTCTGCATCGGCACCTCGCTGATGTTCCCGCAGACTTGAGTTCCCGCTTGGGCGCGCCTACATTTTTCGTTCGTCAATGTGTCGACGCGCATGCGAGCGAACATGTCGTTCCCACCTCGGCGCCGCGCAGATTTCACCTGAACGTGGCGTCCCGTTCTCTGCACTGCGCATCTTCTTCATTCGCCGCATGGTTGGAGGCACAACCGCGCGCGAGCACACGAAGTGCCGCCCTCGTCCGACATCCGCGCATAGATGTCGCTCTGATCTGGCGTTCCCGCTCGGGCGTGGCGAATATCTTGCGCGCCGAATCACATGAAAACCGCAGCGACAGCGGGGCCGTTGAGGCCGAGGGTGAAGCCGAGACACTCCGCAGCGCACGCGCGAGCGCAATCTTCATGGCGCCCTAGTGGGGCGCACGCACGGCGATCCCACAGCTCGTCCAGGGCGGCTTGGCGCAGGGGCGCGACGACCGACTTGCCCAGATTGAGCACGAGGCGGGAGATCATCGCATACTCGCCGAAGAGTTCCTGCAGCTGCGGCGCGCGCGACGACGGCAAGGTCGTCGGCGCGCGCCCAGGGGGTCGCGGCAGGGAAGGGACGGCGGAAACGGCGGAGGAGGAGGTCGGCAGCAAGGGCGCCAAGCCAGCGCGGGTGTTTGGGGGGGGGTCGGCACGACCCGTGTCAAATAATACCGTGCGGGCCACGCTCGCACGTCGGCCGCGCGCGGACGTCGAACTGTTTCCAAAACCTTCATCGCCGACGCGAGGACGCCGTCATCGTGGTCGGCGTGATCAGCCTCGGCGCCTGCACACGCTGCGCCGTCGCCGCTGTCAACATCGTCACCAACATCGCTAAGATCAACATCGTGTCTACTGTTGTCGACGTTGCCATGATACCGCGCCCGACCAAGTCGCCGACTCGCACTGAAGTGCCCGCTGGGATGTGCCCACCTGTCAGCACCACCGCGGCCGCGTCGGTCGCGCCAAACTAGCTGGCCGCAGCGAGCACGTCCTGAGCTTGGCGGGGCCGCAGAGACGCACCAGCCAACGCCAAGCACTCATCGCACCACATGGGTTTTGCAAATCAAGTTGCGGGTGGATGGGTGGGATGTTTGCAAGAGCATGGAATGTGTCAACTCGCTTGTAAAGCTCAATTGCACCACATCTATTGCCCCGCGTAGATAATCCGTTCTAAAACAGAATATGGTCTACCCCCCCCCCGGCGTTATCGCTACCCCTTTCGGGTATATAAATCAAATATATGATTCTGACCACAGTCCATCCCAAATATGAATGTGCACTATCCCAAAGGGGCCGGTACCCCCCCCCCCTGAGGGTCCCTTGTCAAAAACACTATGCGGTGACATGTGTTGTTCTAACATAACACTTTTCACGATACCCTTGCAAAAAATGTGACGAAGTGCGCACGCGCGCGTCGTCGAGCGCGCATGCCGAAATCCTTCAAAAACCTGCGGTGCCGGAATGATTCCGCAATCGAGTTTCCAAAAAACATACAAAAACACAGGGTTTCGCAACACTGGTTTGCTACAAAAGTTTCCGCGCGAGCTCTTGCGAAATCTTAAGAAATCCACAGGGTTTTCAAGATTTTCACAAGATTCTATCAAACGGGCTAACATTGACTTGCTTAAAAAAGCTTCCGCGCGATCTCTGGCGAAATCTTTAGAAAACCATACGTTTTTCAAGATTTTCACAAAATGCTACCAAACAAGCTTCGCGCGCGCATGTCGAAATCTGCCGAACGCCCTTGCGCGTGTGCCGTCGCGAGAATCCTCCGCAAAAAATGTGACGAAGTGCAGCAGCGCGCGTCGCCGCGCGCGTGTGCCGAAAACCTTCAAAGCCCATGGTTTTCGCAAGGATTTCAAAATCGTGTGTCCAAAAAACCTACAAAATCACAAGGTTTCGCAACACGGATTTTCAACAAAAGCGTGCGCGCGCGCTCTTGCGTCTTCGTCGTCGTCGTCGTCGCCGTCCTCCCTCCTCCCGCGTCGTCGTCGTCGTCGCCTACGTCGTCCTCTGTCTTTCCTCGTGTTCGTCGTCGTCGTCCTCTTTGGCGTCGTGGTCGTTTCCGTCGTCGTTGTCGCCGTGGTCGTCCTTCCTCCTCCGCCCTCGTCGTCGTCGTCGTCCGTCGTCGGCGTCTCGTCGTCGTCTCGTCGTCGTACCTCTATATTGTCGCCGTCGTCGTCGTCCTCGTCGTCGTCGTCGCGGCGCTTCCTCCAGCCTCGTCATGTGTCGTCGTCGTCGGCAGTCGCAGTCTCCTTCACTCCTTTTTCTGTTCGCGTCGTCGCTGTCATCATCATAACCCTCGTCGTTGTCGTCGTTGTCGTCGGTCGTCGGCGTCGTAGTCCTCCCTCCTCCCTTGTAGTCGGTTCGTTGGCGACGTCGTCGTCTTTCGTTCGGCCCGTCGAGGAGTGGCCGTCTTGTCGTGTTCGAAGTCTCGGAGACGTCTTCGGTTGGTCGTAGTCGCGTCGTCGTCGTCGGTCGGCGTTGTTGACGTCGTCGTCGTCGTCGGTGTCGTCGTTGTCGTCGTCGAAGTCGTTGGAGACGTCGTCGGTGTCGTCGTAGTCGGTGTCGGCGGCGCCGTCGTTGTCGTTGTCGCTGTCGTCGTCGGCGTCGGTGTCGTGGCCAAGTGTCATGTGGTACGTGCCGTCACGGTCTTGTCTTAAGAGGTCTTGCGACCAAGTTGCGGGTGGGAGGGTGGGATGTTTGCACGAGCTGTGGAGAGGACAACGTCAAGACGGTCAAACATGAATTCTCCGTTCTAAAAACAGAATAGGATATCCCCCCCAGCGATATCGCCCCCCCTTTCGGATATGTAAATCGAATATGATGATGACCACATGTCCATCCTAAATATGAAATCACAATGTCAAATGCCAACCTGTATCCCCCCCTGAGGCCCCCTTGTCAAAAACATGATGCGGTGACATTTATTGTTCTAACATAACAGTTGTTCACGATACCCTTGCAAAAAAATGGGACGAAGTGCGCACGCGCGCGTCGTCGCGCGAGCATGCCGAAATCCTTCAAAAAACCTTCGGTGCCGGAAGGATTTCGCAATCGATTTTCCCCCCCAAAAAAAAACTACAACAAAACGCAGGGTTTCGCAACACTGGTTTGCAAAAAAAGCTTCCGCGCGATCTCTTGCGAAATCTTCAGAAAACCATAGGTTTTCAAGATTTTCACAAAATGCTACCAAACAAGCTTCGCGCGCGCGACTGTCGAAATCTGTCGAACGCCCTTGCGCGTGTGCCGTCGCGAGAATCCTCTGCAAAAAATGGGAAGAAGTGCAGACGCGCGCGTCGTCGCGCGCGTATGCCGAAAACATTCTAAACCCATCGGTTTCGGAAGGATTTCAAAATCGTGTGTCCTAAAAACCTACAAAATCACAAGGTTTCGCAACACGGATTTTCAACAAAAGCGTGCGCGCGCGCTCTTGCGTCGTCGTCGTCGTCCTCGTCGTCGCCGTCCTCCCTCCTCCCGCGTCGTCGTCGTCGTCGCCTACGTCGTACTCTGTCTTTTCTCGTGTTCGTCGTCGTCGTCCTCTTTGGCGTCGTGGTCGTTTCCGTCGTCGTTGTCGCCGTGGTCGTCCTTCCTCTTCCTCCCTCGTCGTCGTCGTCGTCGTCGTCCGTCGTCGGCGTCTCGTCGTCGTCCCTCCTATCGCGCCGTCGTCGTCGTCGTCCTCGTCGTTGTCGTCGTCGTCGTCTTCCCTCCTCCCTCGTCGTTGTCGTCGTCGGCGTCGCCGTCCTTCCTCCTTTTTCGTCGTTCGCGTCGTCGCCGTCCTCCCTCCTCCCTCGTCGTTGTCATCGTTGTCGTCGCTGTCGCCGTCGTCGTCCTCCCTCCTCCCTCGTCGTCGTCTTCGTTGGCGACGTCGGCGTCGGCGTCGTCGTCGTCGTCGTCGCCGACGTCGGCGTCGTCGTCGTATTCGTCGTCGCCGACGTCGGCGTCGTCGTCTTTGCCGCCGTCGTCGTCGTCGTCGTCGTTGTCGTCGGCGTCGTTGACGTCGTCGTCGTCAGTGTCGTCGTTGTCGCCGTCGCCGGCGTCGTCATCGTCGTCGTAGTGGGTTCTGCAAACCAAGTTGCGGGTGGGTGGGTGGGATATCTGCAAGAGCGCGGGATGTGTCAACTCGTTTGTTAAAATCAATTGCACCGCATAGATTGCACCGCATAGGTTGCATCGCATACATTGCACCACATATATTGCACCGCGTAGGCTGCAAGAACCTTCTGTTTGGGGTCCACGCTACCTAACATCTTTTGCCAGAAGCAAGACCTTTTTAAGTGAAAGCACTACTTGGAGAAACTATGTTTGTATATGTACGCATATAGCACTGTATATGTGTTGTTTTCTCTCTCTCTCTCTCGCTGTCTCTCTCTCTCTCTCTCTCTCTCTGATTATCCCACCCAAGTTGTTACACGGAAGGAAGAGAAATCGTTTTCAAAGCTAAGGAATCACCTTAGGGCCGCGCACCGACATCTTAAACAACAAGGCGCTTACCCCGGTGGGGGCGGCAGGTCGCTTTTCAGAGCAGGGTTCTCGCCCAAGTTCTTATCATAACACTGAAAGCGTACAAGAGCTGCACGGACGGATGCTTGTTATCCTTCAAAATGGGGCTCGCGCTCTGGACTCCGCGCGATTTGTTCCTCGTCTGAGGATGCGCGAATCGTAGACCGATAGATCGGGCCTCACCGTGAAGCTAGGACGAGGAAAAATTCGCGTGAGGATTTCTCCTCTCGCGCTCAGGACTCTCAGATCCGCTTCTGGGGGGACGCGCAGATGGCGCCACGAATGCCCGGATGGAGGGCGGCTCCTCTTCCAAGAGGGGACTGTCGCCGGACGCGCCCGCGAACGCCTCGGCCAGGCCTCGTCGTCACTGTCGAGGGCGGTGGGGCAGTTCCTCATCGTCGTCATCCCGCCATCGGCGTCATTGTCGTCATTGTCGTCATTGTCGAGGCCTTGTCGTCGTTGTCGAGAGCGATGATTGTCGTCATTGTCGTCATTGCCGTCATTGTCGAGAGCGATTACCCCGCCCGAGTTGCGGGCACGCGGGGCGCGCGTCTTTCGAGAAGGGGCGCCTCGCGCAGTGAAGCGGGAGTGCTCGCAAGGACACGCGAGGGGCCTCTCGGGACTGCGAGGGTGCGTCGCAAAATCGCCGACACGCCTCCGAGTCTGGCTCCTCCTCTGCGGGGCACACTGATGCGGTTCCAACTGCTCGTGGGCAAATAAAGATTGACCCTCTTGGCCCCGGCCTTCCCTCTCCTCCTGTGCCCCGGGCACGGTCGCGCGCGCAAAAGGAGAAGGGCGCCGTTCGTCGTCCGGGGGCCAGCTCCTGGACGGTCCAGAAGTGGCCGTACCTCGCCGCGGTGTACGGGGCGCGGGGCTCTCCGGGCATCCCCGGGTCGGGAAGGGGGGGAATAGGCGAAGGCTGTCTGGCCCGAAGGTGGCTTTCAGTACGAGTTACAAGTGCAGTGCAAACTTCCGGGTATTTCACGTGGACACTTTGGCCTTCAACATGTGCCCATGGGGATGCACGGTGCACGGTGCTGCTATCCTCGTAATCATGTCTGCCTCCCCGCCCAGAGAGGTGACCCAGGTCACCTGACTTCGCACTGCACGAAGAGCGATCGTCCTCGCGCAGGTTCCCTGAAGAAGGCGGGTGACCTAGGGCAAAGGGTATGGCCCAACGGCAGGCGGACTTCACCGCCCCTTGTTCCCAAGGTTCCCCTGCTGCTAGACGGCCCTGACGAGGCTACACGCAACAGGTCACGGGGGGCAGGGGGGCAGGAGGGAGAAGCAAGGAGGTGGCGGGAGGGGGGAGATGCAAAGACGGAACGTGAAGGGAGCGGCACGAGGGAGGAGGGAGCAGTGCTGGACTGCGGGTTTCGGCGCGAGGCGCCGATGCATGTTCATCATCTCGTTCGTGGTGAGATTCATGGCGACCAGGCGGACTTGGTGGAGCAGGAGCATCAAAACCTCTGCGGCTGTGGCGGGCCCGGGCGGGCAGCGTCGCAAAACTGGCGTACGCGGCGCATCTCTTCCCCATCCTGCTCATGCTCCTCCCGCACTCTTCGTACGGAGCTCCGCCCACACCCGCACACACACACACACACACACACACACACACGCACACACACACACACACTCACCCCGCACACACACACACACACACACACAAACAAACGCGCGCGGGCACGAGAGCGCACACATACACAAACAGACGCACAAACAAACAAATCAACACACTCGGCGTCGCAACCACGCGCGCGGCGGCGCGGCGCAGACACACACACACACACTCAAAAAAACGCGCATGTTCCGTCGGCGGCCACGTATGCAACAACATGGCGGTCAATCGGTGCGGACCTGGGACAGACTCTCTGAAAAGGAAGGACGGACCAGGAGAGGCGGTTGCCGTAGCAGCGAGGCGTGGACGACGAAGGCGCAGGAACGGGCGAGAGGGAAACCAGAAAGAGAGCAGGGACAAGGACAGGAAAACGGCGGGGAGACGAAAAAAGCAGCCACGCAGGACGAAGGGGTAGAACGAAACAGGAGACATTAACGGGGACACACCCACACAAACGCACACTCACACGAACGCGCGCACACACAAAAACACGCGCACGCCGGCACACGAACAGATATATATATATATATATATGTGTGTGCCTGGATGCACATGCATCGATATCCATACACATACACATATACACATACATATACGTATACATATGTATACACAAATACATATACATACACATACACATACACATACACATACACATACACATATACACCTAAACGTACACGTTCACATGCCCATACATATATATATATATGTATATATACATATATACATATACACATACATATACATATACATGTATAATCATATGCATATACATATGTACACATACATATATACATATACGGATAGATAAACATGTGCCGCTACATAATAAAAAAAAAACATATACATATACACATATACCTACACACATACATACATACAGACATCCATACATGCATGCGTATACACACATATACATGCATGCATGCATACCTACATGTAGTAATATAAATGTGTAGCTACGTGTAGATGTTTTATACATGTACATATATAACGCAAATTAATTAATTGCCGTTAGGCATTCAACGATTTGGGGCCCTCGAAGGCTTCCTGGGTTCTTTATGAGGCCTTAATTGTGATCTGTTGTGCAAGAGTAGACAGGGGGCGAACTTGGAAAAAAAAAAAACGGAATGGTGGGATTTCCTTTTTTTTTCAAGTTGTAGTGCCTGAGCTGTGGGTTCGACGATTTCTGGATACAGGCCACGGTCTGTTGGGATGCCTCTCGAGGTCTTCGTGCAAAAACAAGCAGGGGGTGAGTTCCAAAAACAGAAATTCCAAAATTCCACTGCTTCAACTCGTGGGAGCATGGGATCTCGATTTCTACAATGGTTTCAGGGGCAGCCAAGAGGACACGAAGACGATCCAAGAGAGTGCAAAGACAGCGTCAGAGAGTTCAACAGCATTCCCGAAACATTTCTGCATGTGACCCCGAAGTCTTGATGGGGCTCGAGGAGGAGGATAGGGAAGAGGAGTCCCATCTTGAAAAAAAGAAAGTATATGGAATTCCAATTTTTTGTTCAAGTTCCTCGGTCTTGGAGCGTTGGAAGCCGCAAAACGTGAGAAGGCGAAAGAAGTCGACAAAAACCACTGACAATCAACGTTTTTACCCTCTTCGGGCTCTCTCGGGACGGCTCTCGAAGCTCTCTTGGGCTGTTTTGGGGCCCTCGTCGGCCATGTTTTTGGGGCCTCTCAGGGGTCTGGGGTGTGTTGGAGGCCTCTGGGGGTCCCTGAGTCCTCTCGGAGGTCTCTGGCGGCCTCCTGCACCCGCTCTTGAGCCCATGTGGCGCCTGTTCTTGGGTGGTCTGGAGCTGTCCGGGGCGCCTCTTCGGCAGTCTTGTGACCGTCTTGGCCCGTCTTGGGGCCGTCTTGGGGCGGTCTTGGGGCGGTCTTGGGGGCCTTTTCGGCCGTCTTGGAGCGTTGGAAACATGGAATGGTGAGAAGGCCAAAAACCCTTAAAAAAACATAAAATTAACGATCTTGGATTCTCCGGGCGCTCTCGGGAGGCCTCTCGGAGCTCTCTTGAGGTCTCTTACAGGCCTCCTGGGAGCCTGGAGAGCCGCCCGAAAGCTATCCTGGGTTGCTTGGGAGCATCTTGGGCAACTCTTTTACGTTGTGAGGGCTTCTTGGGGTCGTCTTGGACTGTCTTTGGGCATTGTGGGGGCTCCCTGGGAGGCCGGGAAGCGCGGTACCGGGAGCGTACACCAAATGTGAGCGAGGTGGAGGACGCCCCGGGAGGGGGCCTGGCCTATTTGTTTATACATATAACGGCGCACCGGGTCCGGGGGCCCGGGGCCGGGACCTCTACCACAAATGTGTGCCCCGGGGGGCCCGGAGGCTCGTCGGGGCTTGCCGGAGGCCTCCCCAGTCAGACAAGACGGCCCAAGAAGCGCCCAAGACGGCCCAAGAAACTTCCAAGAGGCCTCCAAGAGGGCTCCGAGATGCTGAAGATGGCCTCCAGACGTCCAAGGAGGCCCCCAAGAGGCCCCAAGAAGCCTCCAACATGCGTCCCAAGAGGGCCCCTAGACGCAAAAATTGGCCCATTCCCTTCGTAAAACGTACATTTTCAACAAAGTTGTCTTTTGGGCTTTCCGAAGTTACAGGACGGCCCAAGAGGCGCCCAAGACCGCCCCAAGACGGCCCAAGAAGCTTCCCAGAGGGCCCCAGGACAGCCCAAGAGGGCCCCAAGACGGCCCAAGAGGCGCCCAAGATGGCCCAAGAGGGCCCCAAGACGGGCCCAAGAGGGGGCCCAGAGGGGGACCACGAACCGCAAGCTCGAGCCTTCCGCCCCAAGAGGCCGCCACGAGGCCCCCAAGAGGCCCCAGGAGACCCCAGACGTCCAAGGACGCCCCCAAGAGGCTCCAAGAAGCCTCCAACATGCGTCCCAAGAGAGCCCCTAGACGCAAGAATTGACCCATTCCCTTCGTAAAACGTACATTTTAACCAAAGTCGCCTTTTTTTTTTTTTTTTTTTTTTCTTTTTTTTTTTTTTTTTTTTTTTTTTTTTTTTTTTTTTTTTTTTTTTATTTTTTTTTTTTTTTTTGTTTTTTTTTGTTTTTTTTTTTTTTTTTTTTTTTTTTTTTTTTTTTTTTTTTTTTTTGTTTTTTTTTTTGTTTTTTTTTTTATTTTTTTTTTTGTTTTTTTTCCGTTTTTTTTTTTTTTTTTTTTTTTTTGGGTTTTCCGACGTTACAGGACGGCCCAAGAGGCGCCCAAGACCGCCCCAAGACGGCCCAAGAAGTTTCCCAGAGGGCCCCAGGACAGCCCAAGAGGGCACAAGACGGCCCAAGAGGCGCCCAAGATGGCCCAAGAGGGCCCCAAGACGGGCCCAAGAGGGGGCCCAGAGGGGGACCACGAACCGCAAGCTCGAGCCTTCCGCCCCAAGAGGCCGCCAGGAGGCCCCAAGGAGGCCCCTCAAAAGGCCCCAGGAGACCCCAGACGTCCAAGGACGCCCCAACCAAGAGGCCCCCAAGAAGCCTTCCAAACATGCGTTTACCCCCAAGAGGGCTCCTATAGACGCACACACCATTCGGCCATTCCCCTTCGTTATTATAAAAACGTACATTTTCAAAAAATGTGCTTTGGGTTTCGCAAGGATCTACAGGGACGGCCCAAGAGGCGCCCAAGACCGCCCCAAGACGGCCCAAGAAGCTTCCCAGAGGGCCCCAGGACAGCCCAAGAGGGCCCCAAGACGGCCCAAGAGGCGCCCAAGATGGCCCAAGAGGGCCCAAGACGGGCCCAAGAGGGGGCCCAGAGGGGGACCACGAACCGCAAGCTCGAGCCTTCCGCCCCAAGAGGCCGCCAGGAGGCCCCCAGGAGGCCCCTCAAGAGGCCCCAGGAGACCCCAGACGTCCAAAGACGCCCCCAAGAGGCCCCAAGAAGCCTCCAACATGCGTCCCAAGAGGGCGCCTAGATGCAAGAATTGGCCCATTCCCTTCGTAAAACGTACATGTTCAACAACATTGTCTTTTGGGTTTTCCGACGTTACAGGACGGCCCAAGAGGCGCCCAAGACCGCCCCAAGACGGCCCAAGAAACTTCCAAGAGGGCCCCAGGACAGCCCAAGAGGGCCCCAAGACGGCCCAAGAGGCGCCCAAGATGGCCCAAGAGGGCCCCAAGACGGGCCCAAGAGTGGGCCCAGAGGGGGACCACGAACCGCAAGCTCGAGCCTTCCGCCCCAAGAGGCCGCCAGGAGGCCCCCAGGAGGCCCCTCAAGAGGCCCCAGGAGACCCCAGACGTCCAAGGACGCCCACACGACGCTTCGCGTCACCAATTTCTTCTCACAACGATTCCTGGGTCTGTGACTCGACAGAACCTAAGCGCGCGCGAAGCGCGCGCGTGGTTCTAGTGGTAATATGACGGACACTTCGGGTGCCATGAAGAACCGTCTCCAGCGAAAATACACGCACGACGACGAGGATGTCCCAAGGTTGTGGATCAGAGACATTAGTGGGCGTTCGTTCCCTTGCATATTATGCCCCGAATCACTGCGCACCCCACTGACGGGCGTAGGCAAAAACGACGAAGCTGACAACGGAACCCCCAGCTTTTTCATGACCCCAGCTGATAAGCTGATAACGGAAACCTGCGTGGAATCTGAGAGCGCGGGCTGTCCTGTTGCGCAGACACGAGGCAAACGTGGCACGCAGTTCGTGCACGGATGTCCGTACTGACCGGGAGAGGACAGGATTCGTTCCGGTCTCAGACACAGCAGCGAGATTTTCATATTCACACACACACATATATATGTATATATATATGTATGTATATATTCCGCGCTTCTTGTGTACATATATATATATATATATATATTTGTTTATATTCAGCGTTTCTTGCGGGACGGAGCGAAGGTGT